GGGTTTTATAAGCTTTAAAGATGAGCAAGAAAGGTTCCCAGTTTCATTTTAATCCGATTTCATTATGATCTGCCACATATAACAATTATTATAAAACGCACCTATGGTGTTTTGGCACCATATACGTATAATTGTATTTAATAAAATTTAGGGTTAGGGCTCGGGTATTAAGAATTATTTTTTTTTTTATATAATATAATGTAGAGCTAATATAAGGCCCGATCTCAGCTTTTGGGGGTCCTGAACATTTTTATTTAGAGTACCTGATCCCGTTTACTTAGTACGTTTTTAAGAAATAGGGACCTAGGTGGTAAAACACCATAGGTGCGTTTTAGTAAAAATTTTTTCTGACAATTTAAAAAAAGGGGATTGATATTTGTACCCCAATTTGACATTCATATCCCCATACAATTTAAGTTTTTGTTTTTTGAACTTTACTGCCATACAAACGCGAAATAACGTCCTCCTGCGCGTTATTTCGAATACGTGCATGTGCGTTATTTCGAAATAAAGGTTGAATTCGTACCCCTAATTATAATAAGTGCTCCGGAAGTGGGCTTGTCATTAAGTAAACGTATTTTTTGGAAAAAGCAAAAGTTTTCTTCAGATTTAGACGATTCTAACGGTAGTAAAATCATCAAAACGGTCCAGTAGCTCACCCGCAATGGCTCTTCAAATTTTTGCAACATTTGTTTGCAAAAATTTTGAAGAGCCAATGCGGGCGATCTATTGAACCAGTTTGATGATTCTACTACCATTCTACCTGAAGAACAAGTACTAAATGATAAATGATTATTCATCTACTAAAGACTCGACATAAGCACTGAGTGATTTCCGTGTAACTTATTCGGTTACTTCCTAATATAAAAATGCAAATATTCACTCACCTCGTAACGGAGTGAATTTTGTATATTGTATTAGGAAGTGACCGGCTACACGGAAATCATTCAGTGATCACATAGGACGTGTCGGATAACTTTTATTTAATTCAAAGATAGGTTTACTTAATGCCAAACCTAGTTCCGGAGCATTTTTTATTTTATTTATTTATATATTTATTTAAAGGGATGCGCGTTAATTCGGGACGCCCATGGGCGATAATTTGAGGCTGCATGTACTATTTTAGGGGTATCTAATTTTCAAATTAACGCCCCTGAGCGATATTTGAATTCTATGAATTCGTTGAATTCAAATAAAAAAATTCATCGAATTTGACCTGATGGTTTCGCCCAAAGTCTTAAAAAACTCAAAACGTCTATCCAAATAGAAGCTGCGCCAAAATTATTTTTATTCTTTGAACGAAGATATCTCGGCAACCACCAAGCCAAATTCGATGACCTTTTTTTTTTTTTGAATTCTAAGAATCTAAGATTCAAATAAAAAAATGTTCATCGAATTTGGCCTGTGGCTGCCAATATATCTTCGTTCAAAGTTTTAAAAAACTTAACGCCTATAAAAGTAGAAGTGTGCCAAGATTTTTCCTAAAGTTTGAACGAAGGTATCTTAACAACCACTAAGATCAAATTCGATGAACGTTCTTTATTGAATCCTTCAGATTCTTAGAATTCAAATAAAAAAAGTTCATCAAATTTGGCTTGGTGGTTGCCAAGATATCTTCGCTCAAAGTTCAAAAAAACTTAATTTGTATGGGGTACAAATCCCTAAAAAAAATTATAATTTTAAGTTTACTATCGATACTGTATAACGATAATTATTCAGAAACAATTCTATAAATTATACTTTTTGAAACTCAAATTTAATGAAAAAAAAAAATCATTTACAATAAAATACAAATACTTATTTACAAAGCTATCAATTCATAAATTGATTTTTATTTATATAAATATTTTGATTTGTAAATTTAATAATGTTAGTAGTATACATGAAAGAAAGAAATGTTTTTATAAATGAAAATATGAAATGACTTATAACTGCCTATATATATCTATCAAAAATTCCTATTGGACGAAATGTTACCCAATGCTTTTTAAAATAATTTTAACTCGTTGCGCTCCGTTCTTGGTATTATAATCAATCCAAATTCAATCCAATTTTATAATCTTTGAATCTGGATATAATTGATTAAGTCTTAAATTTTTTTTTAAAAAATAATTTAAAAAATTCTAATATTACAATATTAAATGCAAGCATATTTGTTTAATGAATTTGTGATTTTTGAGTTTGATAATATTTACCAAAATAGGATATATATGAGTTTTGACCATGAATCCAAATAGAAAATGCCGATTCCCAAACCCAAAAAAATAATATTGCCGTAATTTAGAAAAAAAAAAAAAAAAGGGTTTTGGTCACAACCCTAAGTTTCCCCCCCTAGCCATTCCCAAGTATAAGTATAACGTCCTTTATATTCAAGACGACGTGTTCGGACCATAGGATTGACTTGAATACATTTTTCAACACGTTTCCATAGCTCGATACGCTTAAAATCGTTTTTGATATGATGCATAATCGATTCTTGCCATTGGGCTGAGATCATGCTTCGTTCTTGCCTCATTGTATTTAAAACCATATCGGCAGCTTTTTTTACTTGCTCGTTTTCCCATATCTTTTCTCTAACTTTGTAGCTTACACCTCCCAAACCCGCGAAAACAAAGATCGTTCCTAAACGTAGCGATAATTTGAATTAAAATAAAATAAAATAAATAAAATAATAAAAATAAAAATAAAAACAAAAAAATTTAAAATGTATGTACCAATAATAAACATTAAATTCTCTCTCAACCAGGCTATACCAAAAAGTTTAATTCTACAAAATAGTGAGGGACTCGGCTTCTTTGAAACAACATAGCTTTTAAGTTTATTATAACTCCTAAATATATATATATATTGCAAATCAATAAAACCAATAACTCGTATTACGCTCAAGAATGTTCGAGCTTTAAACAAAAACTCACTCTTTTTCATCAATTATTTCAAGATCATCGTCCGATCTCAAGTCTTTCAATGCAATTTGTGTGAGTTTTTCAAAATTATCGTCCGTATCCTGGAATGGCTATTATCAACAGAAAAAAATTAATCTTGCTTCATCGTTATAAACGATCATTCAAGCTTATGAATTATCAGAACATGTATATACTTCCTGACGATTAATGTGAATGAATACATTATATATCCCAATTATTTACTTACTAATTTCTTTTGACGAAGTATTCTAAGAAGATTCTGAAATAATAAATGTTCTCGATCTTCATATCCGCATATAACCCTTCCAGTTTCTTCAGCAGATATTTTTTTAAGCAGTTTAGTATACATATCAATTTTTTTAGCGCGTTCAACGTCAGGTATACATCTGCTGGTGAAAGGTTTGAGCCAATGAATTGATGAAGATGTGAACACGAAACCTTCATCACACGAGGTGATATTTCCCTCTGAGCAATGAGCCTTAGGTGGACAAGGAGTACAAGCGATCTCAAAAAGAGATTCTATAATGTTCGAGATAAATTTATTATAATTATGATAACACTTTTAATTAAAATTATTTAGTATTAAGTCTTACTTTCACTCTCGGCGCTTCCACCGTCTGCTGTATTCGATGGTCCATCACAAAAGCCAATTTCCATTTTGAATCGAGCGTAAGCGCCAATGGTCAAAATTACAAAAAATAATATAAATGCTGTTTTTAATCCACGTGGCTTTGTTTGAGATTTTATTAATTCTGGTGACGGTTGCCGGTTAATTTGTCGCGTTGGCATGTAGTTAGGATTTCTAAATGCATATGCCACTGCTTCACGTCGATTGGTAGAATTATCTTCTTTGACACGCTTTGGGTTTGGAAGTTCTGGGTACAACCGTCCTTTATCATTAGTTTTAGGTGTTATATCTGGCACAATCGATCTAACTTTTATTGTTTTTGAATCTACGTCCGTCGATCCTTCAGGCACGAGCTCGGATTCATTTATAATAGCTTTAACCTTTCCCTTACTGGTTCTTTTTGATGAACGAGAGGACCTGGGAGTGGTCTAAATCATATAATATAAAATATGTTGTAAACTTCTTTAAAAAAAAAACTTTTAAGTTCGAAAAATCACGTAAATATTCTTACTTTTGGAGTTTCGGGCGAAGCAACTGCGCTTTTCCGCGCTGTTTTGGTTTTTCTTTCTGCTGATTTTGCCAGCTCTGCTTCAGTTCTGGTACGAAAGCTCTTCAATTCTTCTTCCTTTTCTCGTAACGATGGTACAAGCGGTAGAATATGTTTATTAAACAATTCTACAAGCTCCGCTTTTTTTTCACTACCCGTATAATGTACATTATGTTCTCCTAGTATTTCGCGTAGACGAGCCATTGTAACTTTCTGGGGTAAAAATCCTGGATCCATATAATAATCTTTATACGAATCCATTGTGTGATATTTGGAAACGCTATTTCTTTTGTTGATCAAAACAAAGCAATTCATTGTGTTTATTTGTTAAAAAACTGTCAAAACAAGTATTTGTTATTTATATGCTCAAAGTTAGTGATCTCCTACCTTAATAGAATTTAAAAGAGTAAAAGCTTTTTTGGCAAAGATCGAGAAAGAAAAACAATTTGTTTTTTAAAAACTTTGAAATTTTGAATTACGTATTTAACCTAAACAAATGTACTACGTAAAATACAAAACTCGTAAAAAATACGTAACAAAAATATCAACAGGTGACTTAAACAATCATTTTTCGGAGTATGGTACAACACTCCGGCATTCACGTGTATGTATAAATAAATGTATCACTAAACGCTAATGTCATCTTAACATTTTCTTATCTGTTATCGTTATCTATCCTCGTAACTATTCTC